CCCTATCCCTCCGTAGTCTTTCAAGTAGGAGGAGAAATGCCAGCGTTCTCCTCCGGTTTACAGACACTGTGGCCATTTCTCAACCGCGAGTACACATGCTTCAGAGCAACTATTTGAAGTATACTACGTCCGCGTGGCGCCGAATGTTGGGCATTTAACATGCATTTAAACAGTGCTTCGGCGCCACTCGATGACGTAGTATACTTGAAATAGTGGCTCTGCAGCAGGTTTACTCGACATTGAGAAACGGCCTGTCACTACCCAATCTGCACCCCTGCCCGATCTGCACATGTGCGAGATGGTCCGCCATATTTGACAACTACATACGGCAACTCTAATAGGACACTTGACAGTGGCGTTTGGCAAATCAGAAAAAGAACACTAAAAAAACCCGACAATATTAATCTGAACGAGAGATTAGTTATTGTCATTACAACGTGACTTCACTATTATTTAACAACTCCTTTTATTGGGTTATTTTATTGGGTTAAGTACATTGTCAGAATAAGTGAGAAATGGATTTAACTTCTGTTAGACAGCTATCATACATACTGAAGAAATATTGACTGAATGTATGCAATATGTATGGCATTCATAATTTATATCTAATTACATTAACTGTGAATGTCCTTCATTTTATTTCAAATAAGAAAATATTTTAATAAAGATATTTGAGACGTTTATGACTCGCGCATGCACGATGCAAATCGGGCAGCCGTCTAGACGTCAAATGTCCCATTAGAGTTGCTGTATGGATTTGTCCAATATGGCGGACCATCTCGCACATGCGGAGTGCAGATCGGGCAGGGGTGCAGATCGGGTAATGACACAGACTGCGTGATACACCGAGAGAAGAAGAACAGACATAAATAATTTGACATAAACAAACACCAAATAGCGTGTGCGTTCCATTTTCACTCTACAGCGAGAAGCTCATGGAGCTTTCCCGAACCTGTGTCGAGAGCTGGAGTGAAAAGAAATCTCAGATTTGCCTTCTTAATAGTTTGTTTGGGTCCCTCACTTCCGTTTCGCTTCTCATGCACCGATTCGCTAAGCTGGACAGCCAATCAGAGTGTTTTTTTGCGACATTCTACATTCAACATGTCGAATCGGCTGCGAAAGGCGTCGGCACGGCCGAAAAGACACAACGGTGCAGTACACACCAATCTGAGTAGGGCGACACGACACTCATCGACGGCCCGACATCTATCGACTCCGAAAATCGGCTCGGTGTGTAAGGACCTTTAGGGCCATGCAGCTAATAAGAATCATAGCAAATAAATATAAAATCAGAAAGTATTTATCAAACGCACACAGGCATCTGTGTTCAGACCCAGTTTGAGGGTAAATTATGTATCCTGGTTTAAATTATCTGGCCTCATTGCTGTGATGTGTAATTTACGTGGATTTAATTGTACCGCATAGCAAATAAAGTGATCGATCTCCCAGCTAGCGCTTTCTGCGTAGTATTTTGTAACGTAACGCCCCAAACAGCGACTGTCTGTTAAACGCTATCGATTCAAATGGCAGCGTTTTATTAATATTTTATTTCAAGCTCTCGTCCTTAGTAAAAACAAAACTAGTTAATTAATTAACTGCTTGTTTCGTTGCATGAGAAGCTTGTGGACATATGGCGCATTTCCATTGCAGGGCCTCGCTCGGCTTAGTACGGTATAGTTAGGCCAGGCTCACTTTATGCTGTGTTTCCATTACAGTTTAGTAGCTGGGGCAGTAACTATAGTAACGCAGTGTAGGCGGAGCCGTGACATCATCTTCAATGCGAACCACAGAAAAACAACATCAGCTGTTAGTCCTCACAGCTCCTCATATCTGTTCAGAAACTAGACTAAAGTTAAACAAGTACAAACCACAGACTGTCTATGTCATGACGAATACAGTCGCTGGTTTATTTATGTCTGTATAGGCCGTTGTTGTGAGTGTGGACGGTCGGAGCATATACTGCATTAGCTTAGCCAATCTCAATTTAGAAAACACGCATTTTAAAAAGGTTTTTCGTCTGCCGTCTTGTCTGCAGACTTGTCAAAGCATTAATTCATGGTTTTTACTAACCGGTATCAGTATGTAGTTACTTCTGCATTATTTTGAAACGTGTATTACAATTACATCACGGTCAAATATGTTCATTGTGTTGTAGTTGTAGCCCCCTTGCCAGCAATTCTCTCTCTAGTTTAGCATACTCAGCCCGACTCAGCCTGGTTGTTGGCCCGCTAAGAACCTCGATTTTATGGGGCCAGAAAAACTGTCAAATAGTACCCGCTAGCCGGTACTATGCCTAGTGGAAAAGCAAAAAAAAAAAACGGCCTTAAACCGTGCTGTAGTGGAAATCCGCCATTAGTGTAGGTTTGTTTCTACAAGTACAGTTTTAGGGACACAAAAGTTAGGGGGGAAGCTGGGGGAGGGCTAGGCTCCACAGTGGGGGGGAAGCTGCCCCCCCTTGCCCCCACCGTAGATCTGCCCCTGCTTCCATGTGACTAGGGATGTAACAATACCATGTTGGACAGGTCTCCATTGAAAAAGAGATCGAAGATCTCAATGGGGACCACCTGGTTAAATAAAGGTTTTTAAAAATATATATATTTTCAAAAAATCGGGGTAGATTTTGTCAGTCTCACGACGGCATCGAGTCATTTATTTATCGCGATGTATCCCTAAATTTGACTATAAAATAGAAAGGGATGAAACCTTTTTCTTTGCATGGGTTCTGATGTGGTGCAATTGATTTCACACACACACACACACACACACACACTTCCATGTTTCTTTCTGGAAGGTGGGCGGGACTGATGCACGTGGTAAACTTGCACAATGTTTTACACTTTAAGAACTTCAGTGACACAATTACAGAATAAATCATCAATTAAACTGTTACTTGCACACACACGTACACACAGACACACACTCCCCCCCCAAACACACACACGAATACTGACCCATGCAACCAGGTCCGGAAGAAGCCCAGCTCCGGCAGGTGCAGGACGTCAGAACTGGCCTCGCACATCTGCACGAAGCCCTTTAACTCTGCCACTTTCCGTGGGTCCATGTTGCTCTGTCGCGTCGAGCAGACAGCACACTGAATTATGTAACCAAAAACAGACGGAAAAAACCACAACAACTCAGTTCAGTGTGGCTTTGTTTACGTGCTAACGCTAATACCAGCTTTGCTAAGCTAAGTTAGCTAACGTGCAACAGAGAATGGATTAGCAAAACCTCGCGTTGCTTACCCCACAATTCAGATAAACTAGCAATGAAGCAACCGTGCACAAAAAGCTTTAATGGCTATCTTTAATGGTCGCAGAAGGCATGAGTTTGTGGACATTTCTGGAAATGTAAATCTGTCCCAGTTTGACGCATGATAACGCCGTTAGCTAATCAGCGTTAGCTTGCAAAATGGGCCGTGATTAATTAAAAATAGTTGGAAAGCTACAGCTAAGAATAACAGTGAATGAAGGGAAACGCACCTGATAGAAGACGCAAACAGTTCACACGGGAGAATAAAAAACAGGAAGGTTGCGGGAGATTTCTATCGACACTACTCTGCTTCAGTGAAGTGTCGTCGCTTCTGTGTTTTCATTCAGGCGAGAATCAGGACAGACTGACAGAGGACCCGGGGTTTTATTGCCCTGAGGTGAGCCTGTCAGGCAACAAATAGGATGCATATAAATGAACCATTAAAGCTTGAGTATTGCCCTCGTTGGGTCATAGATCTGAATTCAAAATATGACTTACTTATGCAGAAGTTTTAGCGTCTCATTAACTTAAAGTACCAACAGTAAGCATATTGCAGAATGGCCCATTTCAGAGCCATACATATCACTGAATTATAATAAGGTATGCATGCATGTCACTTATCTCTTCTGTGTTTCAGCTGTTAAAGGTTGGGTTTATTTTAATTACTTGATATCCTTCTTGGTAGTATGACCTATAATAATATTTATTTTATTTTAAATATTCTGAGTACTTTTTCCACACTCCGAAGCAGAAGATGGCGGCATTACTCTCAGGCCGGTTGACAACCGTCCTGGGAGGCATAACTCAGGGCAGCATTTCTCAATCTACACACATGAACGGGGTTAGCATCAAGCTAACGATGCTAACTGCCAACCTTTGGAGATATTTAACAGTTATATAAGAGGATTTTCAACAAAGGTGAGTCTCATCAACAAATTGCTATGTTTCTCTGTAAACATAGAGCCTTAGTTGATCAACTTCACTGTGTGTTGTCTCATGTTTACAGAGGTTAGCACACATTGCTGTGACTGGTCGGTGTCCTCCAGTTGCAGCAGAAATGTTGCCCTCAAACAGCTCCATGGTGAGGTCTGCTGCAAGGCTGCTGAGAACCTGGAGGCCAGGTGAGAACAATATAGTGTTTTTTTGTTTTATTTGTACCTACATACAATCATAAGGTACTGTTGCTTAAATAGAGTTTTTCAAATTAACATTACTTTATATTTCTACTGCACTTATGTTACATTTCAGAGGGAAATACTAAGCCAGTAACTCCACTGCATTACATGACAGTTAGTTATCAGATGAATTTTACATAGACATACAGCATAGATAAAATACAGTGCAGCTGATAATATATTTCACTGTTTATACAACCTTGTTCTCCACTTGTGTTGTTATATAAGTGTAAGTAACAACATTTATATTTAGTGGGTATTCAATCAATGGAAATCATTTATAAACTATATGTTTTGCTGCAATTTCTTGTCACATATCAGCCTGCTTATACATTTTACGATGACAATACTTATATATTTGTGATAAGTTAATATTGTGAAGTTTTGAAGTTCTCCTCTGTGAATCAGCCTTTGACAGCAGATTAAACTGAATTAAAGGTTAAACCAGATGTATGCAGCATTGTAGGATCCCAGTTTAAGATTGTTTGCTGTCTCTTTATCTGTGTGTCTGTTTGCAGGATGTGTCTGGTGTCCGTGCAGAAACATTTCTCTGAAACCCGGAGGTTCGAGACCAAAGACTCTTCCACAGCGGTACCTGGGCCAGCCGAGCCCCTTCACTCATCCACACCTCATCAAACATGGTGAGTAGTTTTACAATGGATCGCTGGATCGCTACATATAAACCTCTTTACAGAAAACCTGCAACATACTCATTAGTACCCATGCAGAAAACTTCTCTTAAAGGTCCCATGTCATGGCCATTGTTGATGTCTACTAAAATAAATGTATATTGTGCAATTTTCGCACAATATACACACAGTGTCCCGCTCCTCGCAGCAGCGAGCCTCGCAACGTCCCGCCGAGTGTGTGTGTGTGAGGAAGTCCGCGGATTGGTCCAAACGTAACGGCTCCGCGGACGTAACTTAACGGAAATGGACCAATCTGCGGAGCCGTTACGTTACGTCACTATACCCGAAATACGTCACTATACCCAAGAAGTAAACAATGGAAAATGAGAAATCTCCAACGCGGCGTTCTGGGGCAGCATAGACAGGTCTTTTCTGTGTTAGAGTTTTACTCGCTACAGGGTGTACTTTGAGGGTTTGTGACTCTGCAGACCGTTTACATGCAGAAAGAGCCACACAACACACACAACACACAAAGGGACGGGTAATAACCAGAAAAGCATGTATGCCATTCAGAAGCTAAAATGTATAAGATATGAAGCATTTTATAGTCATAATTTGAATCAATAGACTAATAGTATTTCTTTAGCCCACTAATCTCATAATCCAATCATTGTAATTATTCTAAAAATATCTAATCTAAATTGGATTATATGTTCCTTCAAATTAAAACATGTTTCCTTGCTTTGGACAAACAATTGATGGATAGTTTGTTTCTTATCTTGAAAGAAATCATTAGAAAACAACACAATGACAATGCATACTATATGTCTAGGTTTTGATCTGCTGTTTAACACTGATACGCCTTATGTTGTGATCTCTGCTCCTCAGGTGAGGTGACCCCGGGTTTGACCCAGACAGAGTTCGAGCTCCGCAGACTCAGGCTGGCCTCACTGATCGAGGCGCAGGCCGACAGGCTGGGACCCTCCGCCTCCTCCAGCACCCATGTGGTCGTCTTGTTGTCCCACCCGACCCGCTACATGACTAACGACATCCCTTACCCCTTCCATCAGAACCAGGTGCAAGCTTGAATTTAAATCAAATTAAACCAAAGATAAGTTGTATCTGCTTGTTCCTTTGTGGGGTTTTAACAGGCACAGGCAAGAGAGAGGTGCAGTGATGTGTTTTCAAAGTTTGGGAGTTAAGGATCACAAGGGCTCCCGTTAACTAAACGCCAATTGGGTTTTCTATTGGATTTTGGAATGTTTCAGAAAATAAGATCTCTGTCAAACACATGTTTATGATATTTCAATGTTTTATTCAGCAGGATAATCTCTACATACTGTATAAACACCACTTTCATAATTGTTGTGATGTGTTTATAATACATTTCGGCGTGATGACGTTTAGTCACTTGTTAGGAAACGTTTTTCTGACACATAGTAGATTTAGACGTTCACCAGTTCACTGACGTATTTTATGTCATAGAACAAAAAATGTTTTGAAATATTTCAGGCATCTAACCAAAAACCCATTAGAAAAAACACTGACTTCAGGGAACCCGGAAGTGGTATAAAGCTGACTTATGTCAGGGTTTTAGGACTCATTCCCTATGTTTTTGTCATTTAGAATACTGATTGTGTGTAATTTAAGATAGCCGTCATCATTAACCTGTGTCCATATGATCCTCAGGATTTCCTTTACCTCAGTGGCATCCTGGAGCCGGACAGTGCCTTGGTTCTGTACGGGACAGGACGCCCGGACCAAGCCATCCTGTTCGTCCCGCGCAGAGACCCGAGCAGAGAGCTGTGGGACGGCCCGCGGTCGGGGAAGGATGGAGCGGCGGCTCTGACCGGCATCGAGAGAGTTCACTGCACAGAAGAACTGGGTCTGGTTCTCAAGAGCCTTAAAGGTGGGGGGGAGGCATGATTCTTCTCATTCCAGATTCCAGATTCAGGGCTTTTATTGTCATTTGTACATAGCTACAATATAGATATGTTAATGAAAATATTAGGTCACAGGCTCCTCCAACAGTGCAACACAATAAAACAGACAAAATAGTTAAAATAGTGATACAAATAAAATAGAATAGAAATAGTACAAGCTGTGCGTTTGTTTAACCAATTGGATGCCGCTCACTGAAATGAGGGCGCTGTTGGAATGAAGAAACAAAGCGCTATATTTCAATATGAGTAAACAAACTGGTTAGTTTAAATGCATGAAAGAAACACTTTCCTATCAGTTGTCTCTTGCCTTGAACAAACACTACGTTTTTTATTTATTTATTTAACCTTTATTTAACCAGATAAAAAAGCATTGAGATAAAATCTAATTTTCAATGCTGACCTGGCCAAGAAGGCAGCAACGTTACACATAACACAAACATAAAATACAGAGAACATAACTAAGAAAACAAAAGACGAAAAAGGAGTCACTACATTGTGCACATTAGGACAGTAAGAACGGTACACTACTTATTACTGCAAGAGCAGCTGGTGGTAAGGACCTCAGACAACTTCAATTTAAAACATGCTATTGAAGTGCCCTCAGTTTGAGGCTTGATTGAAGGTCATTCCAAGACCAAGGATCATAATAAAGCCTCAGTCCGCACGGCAGGAACCTGGAACCTTATCCAGGCACTGGATCTGAGGTTGTAAGAGTCACAAACTGGAGCAAATCTGGCACATATGTAGAGTGGAAGCTTACCTAAAATGGCTTTATACATTAATAAAAACCCAATGCTGCATCCTACGCATAGTAAGTGAGGACCATCCAGTTAGGCTATACAGTTTGCAATGATGAGTCCTATAGGGTGCATTTGATATAACGCAGTGCAGCATGGTAGAGTGGGTCAAGTTTGGCCAAAACAGTGGGACAGGCAAATCTATAAATGGTATCACCGTAGTCCAGCTGGGAAAGGAATAAGCCAGAGACCAACCTTTTACGGGATGAAGTTGAAAAACAACATTTAAGTCTGTAAAGGGAGCCAAGAGCGAATTTCAATTTCTTGTTAGAACTTCAATATGGTGTTTGAAGTTCAGATTA